ATTGAGTCCTTCAAGCAATCACATGAAAGCATGAGCATTTTTGAATTTCAGCATTTTTTTAAATAATCTGCTATGCACTAGTTTTACTTATACTTGATTTGTTTATATACTGCTAGATCTTGTGATAGAATTTGTTTAGAAAATGAGGCCTTTGCTCTTCAGAACAACATAAACAAATATCTGGGCAGACATAATGTACCTACAATAGTTTTGGAAAATATATAAGTGAATCAGATATGCAATTTTGGTATATTTGCAAATCCTAGTCTTGTGGGGAAGATGCTGATAGGACTCAGCAGCTCTGAATAGCACACCTCTACTACTCTTCATTAATAAGTTATAACGAGCTTCCCCTCTGCCGGAGATTTTTCTCTTGAAATTCTTGTATAGTATGAACTGTACAAAGGTTGTGTTCTTTTGAGTATATTACAGTCTTATTAGACTTGCAACACTGCAGAAAAAGCACTATTTTCCAAGTCAGATTGCATTCAGCAAATGCGTATCTCAGGTTGCTGGACTGAAACAAGCCCTGAGTGAATTTCATAGAAAATACAATACACAGACATATTGTACATCTCCTTGTCAGGATTGTTTTGTTTAATTTATTTGTTTTATTAAGAATTTTTGTGATTTAACAAAGGCCCTGGTTCAGATAAGCTGTTAAATAACTTGTGAGTGGGATGGGGCATGTTGATGTCTTTTAGATGTTTCTCTCCTCCTCCACCACCAATTTAATACTTTATTATACCTTCAATAACCTCTTAGCTGCATATGGATGAGGCTGCATTCAATGAAGCATGGGTGTATGTTACATGGGGTCATGTCTAGCAGCACATTCACCCTGACCATCTAGGTCAGTGTGTGGATCGGTTAAGCTTGTCTTTCCTCGGAGCTAGGCCATGCAGCCAGGCTTACTTTTTCCTTGCTTCTATTCTCTTTGTGAAGATGCATTTTGCCTCTTTTAAATGGAAAAAAGAAACATGAACCTATTAAGATGAAGTTAAACTAAGTAAGTTAGCTCCAGGACTTTTCTATCCTGAATTTATCTCTTTTTCAAAAATAAAATGTTTTGAAACCTAAATTTGACTCTGCAATTCTTGGCAATTCTTGCTCACCACATGCAAACCTTTGCTGGTTATGAACTGATGTTCTCTTACTCTGCTACATTTTGGTGGAATCAAGGAGGGTGACATGTAGGTGAGCAGAAATACATGTAACAAGGTAAACTCAGTAAGAGATAATCCCATTTAATTAATTAATTAATTTCAAACATTTGTATCCCATCCTTTTCAACTCCTGTGGGGGGAGCTTACATCTGGCAGCATTTTGATGCCAACACACACAACAAAACAATATAATAATATTAATTATTATTATTATTATTATTATTATTATTATTATTATTAAACTTTATTTGTACCCCGCTAGCATCTCCCGAAGGACTCGATGTGGCTTACACAGGCCAAGGCCTCAACACAACAACAGCATAACAAGAACAATACAATGCAAAGCAAATCAAAAACATACAGCAATAACAACAAAACATTACACCATAACACAATAAAAACCAGGGCCGGGCCAAGTGATGGGTACAGATTAAAAAAGTGCTGGGTGTGACAGGTGGTATGTTGGATTTCTGGGCAAGTGCAATGTGCAGAGAATCTTAAACTCTAATAAAGTGCTTCTGGGACATAGTGCTGTGGTTTTCCTATTCCGGAAAGGCACATCGGAATAGCCAGGTCTTCAAGCTCTTCCTAAAGACTGCCAACGTGGGTGCTAATTAATGTCATTGGGGAGGGTGTTCCAAAGTCAGGGGGCAACCACAGAAAAGGCCCTGTCCCTTGTCCCCACCAAACGCGCCTGCAACGCAGTCGGGATTGCGAGCAGGGCCTCTCCGGATGAATGAAGGGAGTGCATGGGTTCATAGACAGAGATGAACACAATTTAACATTAATTAAAACAATAAGTTATAAAATATCCAATTAAAAGCATTTCTAAAAACAATATAACCACATCCAAGTCCAGTTCAGCATCCAGAGTTCCAATCCAAAGCCTGTCCCTTATCAGTTCTCACGAATCATTGCAATTACTTGTTAAGACTGCTACCCTAATGCCTGGTCCCAGAACTATGATTTGAGCTTCTTCCCAAAGGAAAGGATAGATAGATCCAACCTAATTTCACTGGAGGGTGTGTTCCACAGATGGGGGGCCACCACCATTCAGCTTTCCAGTCTGAATATAAATAGTTCAGACAAGCCTAATAGTAATTTCATTTTAATTCCATGAGCCAAGGGCAGGGGGTGCAGGGGACTGAAATGGGTTAGGGACAGAGTAAGCTGTTTTATGTGGAACAGAAGCTCCAACTTGTATATGGACCTTGATCAGTGCAGGAGGGTTGACAGTACAACTGCCACTGGACAGTTTCATTGCCCTAGCAGGGTAGGAAGGTCCAAGTGTGGCATTCACTGTTCAGTTGCTTTGCTCTTTTACATAATTTTACCGGTGGTCTGAATAATTATCTCTAATTTTTAAGATTTCTTTTCCTCCTAAAGCAAAGAAAGATATAATAGCTTTACGTATTTCAAGTTCTTGCAATAAGAGACCACATTTTACTGGTCAATGGTTATTTATTTTTTAAAAAACTTTACCCATTCCCATACAAACTGAGATGTCTCCAGGCACTGAGCTCCTTTAATTCATTCTCTCCTTGAGGGAAAGTTTACTGTGGTTTGGAGAGAGTTTTTCCTTGATGTACTTCAACATCCCAGGGCAATCGTTTGCCTCTTTGTGGGAAGAGAAAAGCAGCTGAGATAGAAAAGTGTGTGTGTGTGTGTGTGTGTGGGGGGGGGGGGGGTCCAGTGGCATGTGGCTTTCTGCCTTGTGCCTTTATCTTAGTTACAAAAAATGATGAAATTGCAATAGGAGGAGGTCTGTCAGGTATCAGAGGAWACACCGGCCTTAAACAGGAAGTTCCTGGAGGCCACTGTAGTGATCTAGGTTTCAAGCTGTTGATCCATATCTTAGACTAGGACCAGGATGAACAATACGTTTTGTAATGGAATATAAGCAGCAGCCAACTTATTGACAAAAAAAAAAAACCAAGAGAAATAATCTGATACAACTGGAACATCCAATATTTAAGTTGCTAAATGTACCCATTCAACACAAAGCTACCTGGCTATTTGAAGAGAACTGATAAGATGCGTTGCAGTCTTCTGATTACACAGTGATTTTATTTAAAACCTTGTTTGTTTCTGGAGCTGTTTACAGAACACAGCGGTATGCCAAGTAACGGCTTTCCAGTCTGAACAAATAGATCAGACGAGCCTAATAGTAAACAATGTGTTGCCAAAAATAAAGAAAAATACTGAACAACTCAGTAGGGTTATGGTAGGATGTTTGCATCACTCACCTTTTCAAATTTTATCTTGGCAGTCCTCTTTTTCTCCAATATTAGGAGGTGTTTATGGCCCATAATTTGTTGAGGATATTGCACCATACTGATAAAGATGTATTATTGAAAGATCATGATAGGTTTTGGCATTTTTATAAATTTCAATTTATAGCAGTCTATATTTACCAATACAGAAAATTGCTCCTGGATAACAAAAAAACAAAAAAACAAAAAAGAAAAAAAAAGAAAGAAAAAAAACTCTGTTAAGGTCAATTTAAATATACCCTCTCCTTCTATCTGTCTGCTGACATTTGTAACAGTTGATGCATTTTTTTACTTTGTAGTTTCTGTTTAAGGTGTTATGGCATTTGGAAGATAAGCAGGATCAGCCCTGGTTAGCACTGTTGGCACCAATGAATACTAGATGATAAAGGCTATATTTGAGAGGAAGAAATTGTCAAGGCTACCTCTGAGCCTTCTTTGTGTAGGAAACCCTGTGAAATTCATGGGATTGCCATAGTTGACAGGCCACTTAAAAGCACATACATACATATGGCATGTTATAAAAATCAAGAGTTTCCAAGGAATATTGCAATCTTGTAAGTGCTTGATTCCTTCCTTCCCTCTCAGTCCACAATATGGTTCAAATTATTTTGGCTTAAGTCAAAGTTCTAGTCCAAATTACAGTAGATGCTGTGGATCATCTGTTAATCAATGCTTATATAAATATGTATTCTGGTCTATTCTGTTTGGGGATAGCAATTCCATTTAGACTTCTAGAACTTTATTTTATTATGTGCACACATTTGAAATCAGTTTTCATTCGAAGCCTTCATACAACCTGATAAGCAATATTTTTACCTGTGCATATTTAGAATTTTCTCCCTTTAAAAATGTTTATTATTTTTATTGCATACAAAAGACAAATACAAATAGTACAATAACTAACAAAACAGACACATTACAACATCCTAACAAACCCTTTTACTTCTTCCCCAAACCCATGAACCCACCACCTATAATTTCCATCACTACTTATTGTGAATCTTATATCTAATAATAACAACCCTTATAACTTCTTTAATAAATTCCTTTTGCAGCTACTTTAAAATCTACATTTGTCTTTCTTTGCAGATACACAAATGCCAACCTCCATTTTTAGTGAACTCTTCATTATTTCCTCCTCAAATACCATTAGATAGCTTGGCCATTTGTATATAGTCTAATAACTTTTCTCTCAAATCCATTTTAGATAATTATTTTTCTTCTTCCAAGATTTTGCTATTATCAATCTGGCTGCTACAAAGCTATATTGACAAATTTCTTCATTTCCTTTACTAATTCCCTCCCTAAATAATCCCAAAAGACACATTTTTGGGTTTACTTTAACCTTATTGAAAATCATTTTGTTTGTTTCTTGACCACATTTCCCTAAAAATCTTGTAACATCCTACATGACCACCAAATGTAAAAAAGTGCCCTTACCTGCCCATATAAATTTAACCAGCTCTTTCTGCCACTATTCAAAAGCCTTTACTCCTTTGATAATTGGTAATTTTTGAAATAGGAACAACATTTTAGGCAATGCGATCATTTCCTCCTTTGTTTTATTTCTTACTAATGCCTCTTATCTATGCAGTGTCAAGGTCTATCATTATCTCAGCTAAGTGAATATTTATGTGATTTTTTGGGGTGAGACATCTCTTCTGGTATAAGTGTATAGCAGCTGGCCAATTCAATGCAGATATACTAAAATCTAGTTGGGTTTAATAGGAAATATTCCCCAGTAATTGAACATAGGATTACATCTTTAGAGTATTGCCGATATGCCAGGATATCCCTAACTTAAACTGCTTCATCCATGAACCAACTCTATCATATGTGGACAGTATTTCTGGTAGCGAGTTACCTCAGAACAGAAATATTAGAAAACCAGGTCATTCTCCATATTGATTATTTTAATGTTCTTCAGATTCTTCTTCTTGCTTCCACTTTTCAGCTTGGTTGGGCTGGAACATAGGATGCCTCTGGTCCATTAAATTTCACTGACGAGCTGGTAGAGGAAAAATGAAAGCATTTAAAGGTGATTTCTCATAACATAAAACCATCTTCCTGATCATAACATTGATTGGATCACATGGTATACTCCTTGCAGCCACCTGGAACATACCTTGGCCATTGAAGTTGTGGATTGATCCTTTCACAAATGGGGTTGCGAACAGAACTGACATATTGATATGTATGGTTGAACAGGTTCTTTTCTCCACATGCTCACTTTAACTCTGGAAAAACTGTCCATGGGCTAGGGATATTGGAATGATCTTTAACCCTGAAAATATAGATTTTGGGATGAGACAAGAGAAATTGTTATCAACAAGTCTTTGGGTAGCATTAAAACTAGAGAACCAAAACAAGTGGGTAAGAGGAATCATTCAGTAGATTTCAGATATACTTTACAATTCTCTGCTTCTCTGTGTGTCTCTCACCCCTTCATAAAGAAAAGATGATACAGATATTGGCTTTATAGTAATGCAAATGCAGAGTGTGTACCCATGCAGACATGAGTGAGTATTCAAACCACATGCTGTCTCACAGCAGAAAGAAATGGAAAATTAAACCTCTCATTATTGCAGTGGAAATTATAGGATTATATCCAACCACCCATAGCAGATAAAAGATAAAATGCCCAGCTTTGGGTAGTGAGATTCAAAAAGTGTGCTGAGAAGTGAAAATTGAAGAATGACTTTAACTTTTTTAAAACAAATAAACAGGATAATTCCAGGAAACCATCTTCTTTCTGAGATATATCTTTTCAGTCAAATATAGCTTGTGGTTCAATCCTATAATGCATACCTGTGAGGGAGTCCCACTGAACACATTTCTGAGTAGACATATAAATCTGATGTGTGGTTTCTTAAAAGTTAGAAATCATCTGAGTTGCTTTAAAGAATATACGTTTAAACTATTTTTGTCCAGTAGATGAGCAAATGAGAATCTATAGGTTAGGACTGGTGAAATGCTCAAATGGGTTTATTTGTTGTTTTTTTGACTGCAGTGGCAGGATGCATCTGCTTTCAACAACAACAAAACAGATTTATTTTATTATCATCGGCTTGACACTGATACAGAGAACCGTTTTAACTTGGATTTTCCAGGAGCCTATTCCTCAATTTGTGATCAAAAACTAGACTTCAAAATCATGAATTCTGGTCTGTGGCTCCATTGAGATATATAGCAAGCCCATGTTGACTTTTCTCTTTGTCCTATAGTAACCTTTCACGAATTTCTCTTGGAATGTTGTTCCACCGCATCCCGGACATCAGGATGTAGCCTCATGGTGATCATAATCTCATCACAATGCCCTGGAAAGATGCATGGGACACACAATGGGCTTGCATAAGAGCCTCTGGGTCTTTTCCTGTTTCTTCATGATATGATCCAGTTTATTCCTAGTAATGCTTCCTCATCCCTGTCACCAAATCAGACCTCTCCCCGGGGCTCCCATTGCAATTACCAAACATCTTGAGCACCCCTCATTTATTAGATTGGCACCCATTGTAGTGGCCAAAGCTGAGATATCAAGCCCATTTCACCCCATGATCACTTGTTCCACCACATTCCTTTCCTGGTTGAATTAATAAACAGACACAAAGCTTTTAAAAAACCCAATGACAGTTTATTAAACTTTCCTGCCACCAAGGAACAACCAGCAATGATGTCAGGTGGAACCCTGAATCAACCAGAGAACAGATCCTAGCCAGATACTTTTTGGACCAATCAGAAGTCAGCATAGCAGACCTGAATAGCTGTCAAAATGCTATAAATAAAATGCGTGTTCACAATTGTAGTATGTCAGTTTTTGAGAGTTCAGACTCTGCTGGAATCCACTTTGTCCATTGAGAATAAAGCGTCTGATTTTGCCTTCAACCTGTCTGTGCCTAATCTAGCCCTCTGGAAAGCTTGGCACACCAGGCTCCCAAGCTTCCTCTTTTGAGGAAGCTGAAATTACATAACAGATTAAGATTTAAGCCTTCAGGCTAGTAGTTGTGGTGAGAGGAAGCATGCCATTCTTTGCTATGAATGCTGAAATGCTAAAACAATGAGGGACTAGTATAGTTACTTACAAAACAAAATGGCAGAATAGTGGCTGCACATTTTACTTTTCATGTCAGCTTCTACAAGCTTTAAAAAGTTTATTTTCTAAAAAAAATGAAAGGTAGGAATTTGAGAACTATCATGTGAGGGGAGAGACTGCTCTCTCTTCCTATAGTTGTAGATGCCAAAGACATCTGCAATAACATACTCAATAAATAAAATAGTTAGCATACTAGAAAACATCCAACTATAAAAACAAAAATATATTATATTAAGCAAAGCACAGGGGCAGCAGAACACGAGAAAGCAGCTCATTACAACAAAAGCCATATCAATACTAAGACTTCATTTTGGCATCATAATTTTATCAAAACAAGCTGTATTAATCCAAGTTGCATGCTGGCCCAGAGATGCTTTCCTCCAAAACAGTACAGAACATCCAAATCCAGGGGCCATACTGTCAATGGGAGAGGTCTTGGAGATTATCCTAAATCTGTTTCTAACTGGCTGGATGAGTGTCTGCATATATAAAAACAAATCATTTTAGGATTCTGAGAGAGGGGCAGAGCACTCCTCCCCTTGCAGACACCTCAAAACATGGTTGTATTATAAGAACTCTGTGACAAAACAAAAGCTGTTGCAGACAGCTAGTTGGCCATCTCTACGGCTGCCCCAGATTGATGTTGGGCTCTGTGCCAAATTTGGGACATAATCACATACCACTGAGTCATCAGAGTCAATTTTTTTTGTCCCCAGCCCAGTTATTGCTGGACAGTGCATGGCAAAATATTTCAGTTTATCAAATACAGTATTTTATGCATTTCAAACCATTAAGATTGTTCAGGAGTGAATGATTCATAAACAGACTAAGTGAAGTCCATTTGACATTAAATGCTCCTAGTTTCCACAGGGAGAATCACTTCCAACGGCCTTATCACATTGATGTCAGGATTCACCACACATCGTAGCAAATCCGTGGGGTCCCAGCGGGGTGTGTGGAGAACCCATTGCCCCACTCCCTGCATCATATGACTTACCGTGAAGCCCATCCCACAGGGGGAAGTGCCCGCTGCCCTCTTCCCCCATTGTTTCAAATGCAACACAGGAAGCTTGCCATGTTGCAGTGGTGGCAGCATACGCCACTTGAGCTCCCCTTTCAGCATGGAGCCTGGCTGAAAGTAGATGTGCATCGTGTAATGGGCACCATGGCAAAAAGGGAGAGCAAGTGGTGTGTGACAGGCAAATTGCCCTGTCTGATGAAGTTACAAGTTAAAGAGTAAAGATTTTTTGTATCAGGGCTGATTTGGTCAGTATGCTGAATGAGGCACCATCTTTGACAGTGAATACTAAGTGGTTCCAAATCTTAATATTTATTTATTTATGACATTTCTATCCTGCCTTTCTCAACCCTGGAGGGGACTCAAGGTGGCTTTACAATATAGGCAGATATTTGATGCCATTGAAAACAACGTAAAATTAAAATCTGGAGCCTTTCCCTGAGATTTCTCCTCTGCACCAAGGGGAAAGACCCCCCTTAAAAGACAGATAAATCATTGTCCAACATTTTATACTTTCCAACGGCCTCAGTTTAACAGGGACAATCCCAGTTAATCATCTGCTGTCCCACTCTCTCAGCTACTTTTTAAATGTCCTGATTTTCTTCTTTTTTCAATTTCCCACTTTACTTTCAGCATACTTCTATTGCTTCAAATGGAGTTTGAAGTGCAAAAGAGCTGGTGCTGCCCATTTTCTGAAGGTCTTGGCGTGACTTTAGTTCTGATTTGACCAGCAAGCTGTGGTTGAGAGGGAAATTGGGAAGGAACTCATTTTGGGGAGAGAGAGGCAGAATCTTAGGGCCCGTCCACACAGCCCTTTATCCCAGAATATCAAGGCAGAAAATCCTGCAATATCTGCTTTGAATTGGGTTATTTGAGTCCACACTCAGATAATGTGGGATTTTCTGCCTTGATATTCTGGGATATAGGGCTGTGTGGAAGGGGCCTTAATCTTTGCTGTAGTCACAGGCAAAAGGAAATTGCTGCAACCTTTTCTAGTTTGTTTCTCATTCTTCATTAATAACATTGTCAATGGAAAGTCTAACATTTGTTTTAGAGGGCAGCAAACAGGCATCACATAGAGCAGCCAGTATCAAATAGGTGTTATAGAACTGGGACTGCCATCTCTCAGGTCTTGGTGAATTATGATGCTTCTCCAAGTAGAGGGGAATATCTAGGGATAGTAGGAGGAAAATGTTTGTTTTTGCATCACATTATAGATGGATAAACTAAATCAAAGGGTACGTATACACTGTAATGCAGTTTGACACCACTTTAACTCTCATTGCTAAATGCTATGGAATCCTGGGATTTGTAGTTTGGTGAGCATCAGCACTCCTTAACAGCAAAAACTGAAAAAGTATAAAAATACAACTCCCATGATTCCATAGAATTGAGCCATGGCAGTTAATGTGATGTCAAGCTGCATTAAAGCTATGTTACGCAGAATCAATTTGCTGCGCAGTAGCAATGTCCAGCATGTCCAAAATAAACCCAATGCCAAAGACACAGACCAGTCAGAAGAACTAAAATAGTAGAACTTTACTCTTGGTTGCAGAGTTGAAAATAAAACAGCTTGGTACACTTACATAGTCACTGTAAGTAATACAGAATAAATCTTCTGTGTCATAAATCATAGAGCATAACAAAAGTACATGGTTACTTCACCATAACATGAGCTTCTTGCTTCTGCTCTCCAGCATTTCAAACTTCCAACTGCCAACCGTCTGCAGAAGCCTCAAATTGTTACATTTAAAAGGTGTGGCTTAGCTAGCATTCTGCAGTTGCAGTTAATCATTAATACTTTGCAAGGCTTTTCTGTTTAGGCTTTCTTTAACACACACACACACTGGGCTTAAAGCAATATACCATAATAAGCTATACTGTAGATGCACCCAAGGATAGCATAGATTCTCTGAGTCTGCAAAACCTGAGCTTTTGATGATAGGTTGTCTTGGAGATCTTTCATTCATAGGGTCAGCATAAGTTGAAGTCTACTTGACAGCAGTTAACAGAAACAACTGCATTTTTGTGGGAGAGGCAGTCCTATAATATTCTTTCTCAGGTGCCAAAACAATTTGACTGCCCTAGGGTCCTGTCTGCCTTGATTTTGAAGCTGGGGATAAGGTGTCATTTGGTGCTTTGGCTGAGCCCTCAAAATGCCTCGGGCTGGTCTTGG